ATGACCAAAAACCAGTCTCCACATCTTAACCTCTGGATGGTGCTATCAAAGGAGACCATTCTGAAGTGTCAGGGTGTGATATAGGAAATCAAGGGGTGGAGGTCCAAGATGGGTCGGAGTCCGCCATCCTTCTTTGGTATGGTGAAGTAGTGGAGGGAAAAGCTGCATGCAAGAGCCGGGTTGTGAACTTGAATAATGGCATCCTTCTGAAGTAGGGCAGCCACTTTGAGTTCTAGTGGGGGTGATGGAGTGGTATCCCTGAACAGCCCTGTGGGAGGTGGAGAATCAAATTCAATAGCATAGCCCCTGGCTATGATGGTGAGGACCCACACATCATAAGTGATGGATTGCCAGGCAGAAAGAAAGGGGGCTAAACAAACCAAAGTGTGAAGTGTTGCTGGTGGGCCAACAGAGTTAAAAGGGCCTGCCTGGGATTCCAGTCTGGGTGGCGTGCCTGCTGGCTAGGCTGCTGCCTGTCAATCTGCTGCTGGGATGGACCCGATGAAAAGCTTGAGGCTTGCTGTCTCTGACAGTTGGAATAAGGCTGGCAAGAGGACGACCGATGCCAAGAATTCCTAGGCCGGTTCTGTTGGCTAGTATATGACCTGGCCATCTTATGAAGTTTGTCCAGAATCTCATGGGTCTTATCGTCAAAAAGACCCATCCCATCAAAGGCTAGATCCTCAATTTTGGATCTCCCATCTTCTGAGATTCCGGCGGAGCAAAGTCAAGCACAGTGGTGAAGGGTTATCGCTGTGGTAATTTGCTTGGATGCCGCATCCATTACGTGCCTTGCGGTGATTCTTTCCTGCCGTGTCAAAACCATAGCTTCCTGATGGCACACAAGGGCGGAGGTCCCAAGCTCCTCTGTGGCAGCCTGTAAAGCTGGTAAGGTGGTATTCCATAAGTGGCTATGGTAAGCACCCATCACTGCAGAGTAATTTGCCACTAAAGAACGAAGAACGCTAAGGAATAGACCCTTCATCCCAGGATGTTCAGTTTTCTACCCTCCTTGTTATTGGGCATGGATGTCAACCAGTTCCTGGCTCTGTTCTGGGTGGCATCCACAACAAATGAATTAGGCAGGGGATGCCTAGACAGGAACTCTGTGCTAGACTCGTGTGTCTTATATAGGTTCTCCACCGTCCTAGGTATCTGATAGGATGTGGAGATTTTTGTCCCTGGGCTCCTTGACCAGCTTTAGCAGTGAAGAGATAAAGGCTAGGTGGAGAGGAAGGGTCTGGTCTTGGGTGATGTCGTCTTCGTAGACCTTATCCACCTCCTCTGCTGCAGGTCGTTCCACTGCCAAATCCATCACCTTTGCAATCCTGCGTATCAGGTGCGAATAGGCAGAATATTCTTCTGAAGGGGATGGAGGCTGGCTCTCAGCCATTTCCAAACCTGGAGTGGGTATGTTTGGTAGAGAATCCTTCTCAATCTCCCTGCCTGAGGCTTCCGTGTCAGATACGAAGTTCTCATCCAGGCCTGGGGATTGGGAAAGGGCATGTTGACCTTGATCTCGATAATACGGGTCAAGATGGACTCCACGATCACCCCCTACATCCTCCTCCAGACAAGGTGAGGGTGGAACAGGAACTGGAATCGAACTGGATTGATGTGCCAGGGCCAGCATCAAATGAGACCACTTCGATGTGGCTGGCAGTACGGACTCCTCCGCCGGTCAAAAGCCTTTCCCAAATAGGCAGGTTTTAAGTTTATTCCTGCAAACATCCTGCGGACCTCCGCTGGCAAGTTGTTCTAAAGGCGAAGGGCCACTGCCAAGAAGGCCTGGTTCCTCGTTCTTTCCTTCCAGACCTCCTTTGGCATTAAGCCCTCTCAGCTGCCTGGCCTGGCTGGAACGAGTGACTCTGGCAGAACTGGGTGGGAGAAGGTGCTCTGCCATATTGAGGCTTATGCACCCTACGCCTTTGCTGCCTTTTTCGCCAGCTTGGGCAAAGGGCCTCCGGCTGAATAGGTTTCTACAGGGTGCACCTGCAGTGGCTCCATAGCCGAATCCTGAGCCGGGCAGAGAGCTTTCTCCCACAGGAAGAAGTACAGACACTGGAGCCTCTGCTTTATGGCCAGCTTAGTGAAACTTTTACAAACACTACACAAGGCAGGTTGGTGTTCCTCTCCCAGGCAAAACAAGCACTGGGAATGGCCATCCGACAGCGGAATCTTATTTGGGCAAGTGGAGCAGCACTTGGAAGGGCCCAAAGCAGCCATAAACAACTCATTGAAACCAACGGACAAGAAACACAGTTCTTTGCTTTAGATAGACTCACAAAACCAAGTGGAATGTCAGTCAATCCAAGGTCAGGATAACTGGGAGGTCCAAGAATTATGAAGTTGAGGAAGAAAAAACCTGAATGTGAGAGCTCCAAATCGAGATGCTGCAACAGCAGCGGCAGAAATGGAACTGAGGCACTCGGTGCCAGGGCGGGGCTATAGGTAGCATGTGGGAGGTCCCGGCTGCTCTGCGCAGGTGCAGATTAACCCATTAGTGTGCATTCACAGAGACCATGAAGAAGAATCAATAAATATTGCCTCTTTTTCTCATTGGTAGGAGAGTGCTGGGCAGAACTGTGTCCAGAAAGTGCTCCTGTTGGTGGAGAAGAAACTGGATATAATCCCCTTAATATCTAGATCAAGAAACTTATGGCTATCCAGATATTGTGATCTCTAATTCCTATCAACACTACCAAGTATGGCCAATGGTTAGGACATTGTGTGTAATGTGTATAGCACAACATAATTAGGAAGAACAGTTTCCCCATCCCTGATCTACATGAAGTTTTTAACATACTCAGCTATTTCCATTTTTAACAAAGAGCATCTAAAATTGTTCATTTTATTCAAGAATTCAACCACAGCACAATTTATTCTATGGTCAACACAACACAGACCAACTGGCAGAAGAGTGTAAACAGGAGGCAGAAAGGGCAAGAACTGGATTATGTGGAATCCAAATCTCTCTCAGTCCAGACTCACAGCCATTATGCTGGAGTAAAATTAGGCCAGCATCAGTGTAGTCCTAAGTAATCTCTAACATCTTTAGGCGGGGTGGGGTTTGGATTCAGCACAGCCTCAGTCAACTTGTCTGTTTAGGATTGCCAGGATATGATTCGATTGTGCAATAGCTGTACTGTAGCAGTTTTGACTTTTATAAAGAAGTATTTAGGACCTCCTTCCACAAGTCAAAGTTAACTATTATATGAGTGTTCCATCATGTCTGGGCAATGTTTATACTAGCCCAAACACAGGGGCTGTTACTTCTTTGTACTCCAGCAATGCCACACAGGATTGTAGACAAAATCTTTAACAAATCTGAGGAACATTATATCCATGGATAAACGCTGCTTCCAGTGTTACTACTATACCACTAATATGTGAAGGGAACTTGGAATAATGAATTCCCTCAAGCTTCTTATCTGTGAGTTAATAATGACCTGGATTGATGGTAAGGAATCCTTATGTATACGTTACAGGGCTTTTGAATTTGTGGATGATGCAGCACAACAGATGACTACATGACAATATCTTTTTCAACTGGAAACCACTGCAAACTTTTGTACTTCCCTGATTACAGATTCTAAAGTTCATCTACTCTTTCCTAATCCCTGAATAAACTGGCATCAGTATGAAAAGCTGGTATCTCCATCTGATCCTAGATGAAAAGCTAAAACAGTTATTCATCCATGGACAATCCAACAGAAACGCATAAGAAACAGTATCAGATACACAGTATGTGATTATGGAAAAAACACGCATAAACTAGTTCATGGCACACAGGCTGAACTGAATAGTCTCAAAACTATTGGACTGAGATATAACTGGGATTTGAATTGAACAACTGATTTAATAGTGTTTGCACAAACATTATCCATTTTCTCTTAATAAACACACTGTACATGTTCTTTAGGGCTCCAGTGACCAGAATCTTCTCCTCCTCTGCCGGCCGCAGATGATATTAAACTTGAGAGCTTACACACCAATTTCATTTCTAGTCTTTTACTGATAATGGATGAAACTGCCTATTGACTGGAAGGTACTGACTGCAATAAAGCAGTGGAACAATCCAAATAATTCCTTCAATCACTAGTAGTTTCTGTAAACAGAATTTCTCCCTTGGCCCCAGAATCTGCTACAGTATTGGGAGAACACCCCAAATAAAACCTGTTTACACCTGTTCTCAGCTTCAACTTCTTGCATACTATAAGGAAGCTTTGGTATCAAGCTGGAGTCTTGGAGGAGAGGTTATGTGGCTGAGCAATCAATGACTTCGTACACTGGACAGAATGGATACTTTCCCCATTTTTAAACTGCATAGAGAAAACCAAATTCAACAAAAAGCCAGGATTTTCATCTGCTAAATCAAATTTAGACAATGGGTAGGGCTAGTGCTCCAAGAACTAGAATTAAGATGTAGGAAGCTTGTTAATGAAATTTATTGCAACAGCATCTGAGTTTCTTTCAAAAATACATCATTTGAAGGCCAGTGTAATAAATGATTCTTGGCAATATTTTACCTTCCGCAAAATAAATTTCATGGTACAAATACTGTAAAACAGTGGTTCTTAACGTGGGCAATAATGCCCCCCAGGGGGCGATTTCATTTTTCAGGGGGCGGTAGAACAAAAAGACTGTAAAACATTGAAATCCTCAAATAATACTATGTTTAAAGAGATACTTTAAAAAAAGGCGGGGGTCTCTCTTAACTACAGAAAACGCCAATTTATCACATACATCACTTTATTAAGAATCTGTTTTTTTAAAAAATTGAGATAATGGCAGCTGCAATGAACAAAGAGATACAAATAAATGCTCTACAGAAAGAGATAGTTGCTGGGCAAGAAACACTGTGGAATTTTATACCTCTAAAATGGCTTCCGTCCATGTAGAGCCCTCAACTTCATGAAATTGCATGGATTTTTCCCCCTAATGATTTCCTCATATTTTATTTTACTGTTGTAGTTCAGCCATTTCCCCCTCCTAGTACTTTACTCCTCAGTTTTTTCTGTTTTCATGCAAAGGAAACAAAACAGGAATGTGATAAAAGCAGAAAAAAAGAATCAGTACAGGAACTTAAACTGGTTCCACTCATCATTTTAAGAATAAAATTTAAGAATTTTTCTGACAATAGAATACGTGTTTCTTTGGTTAGGAAGCAGGGGGAAAGATGCAAAGCAATTGCTTGTGTGATAGATGTACACTATAGCATTCTAAAACATGAGACAAGAATGTCAAGAGTATATTCTTCCCCCACTGCCAGATGGAAAGGCTATTATTATAAATGAAAGGCAGCAGTAGTGGATGCCAGACACTTTTGTTGTGTGCCAGATTCTGAAGTCCAGATGTAAGCAGGTTACCCCTGGGACAGGACAGGCTTCAGCTCCCGCAGCAGAATAGAGCCAATCACAGTTTTCTCAGTGTTTATGATGAGTTGCGCTGTAGATCCTTCCTCCAGCTCCACTGTGACTAGCATCAGTGACCCACTATGCACAGTTTTAGCTGCAAACCTACAAAATGAAAACACAATCTGTGAACACCCTTTATACAAAAGCAAAAGAAGTGCTATGTTTATATCAAACATCACTGTAATAGAAAAACTTTGCAAAAAAAGCAAATACTAGTGTATTCATGACTTGCAAAGCATTAACACACTAGAATACAATTAAGAGGAATGCCACAATCTAAATATAATTAAAAATAAAGTTGAAATGTTCTCTTCAGAAGATTTTAATTAAGATTCACATTTAGACAGAACAAAATTGTAAACTTTGCTGGGAACAGAGTTTCCAAGGGAATACATATGATTTAGGATTAGAAGTTTTTATGATAAGGCAATTCTATAAAACACATCTGCAATTAAAGAACTAAAGTTTTATTGGCACACCTATTTATAAAGGCAGCAATATGTAGCTCCACTGGAAAGGCTACCCCACTCCCATAACCCTCATATCTTAAAGAGACAAATGCTTTAAATTAACATACCTTTGATTTTTAATGACTGAATATTAACGATACTTGTAACAATGAAAGGAAACTTAGAGATCTAATCCTCTGTTACTAAATTCCAAGACACGGAAAAACCTACTCATTACATGGAATTAAAAGCAAAACTAGTCTTTTAAGCACTGCAGTTGACTGAAAAGCCATTTTAGGGACAATGAACTTCTGTCAATCCTGTTAATTCATTCTGCATGCACAGCCAGGCCCCAGCGACAGAAAGGAAAAAGATGGGACCAGCCTACTGTTCTACATTGCACAAAGCATGCTACCCCCACATGATGAAAAAAGAAAGACGAAGAACCCAGAACACAACAAAGTTGCTGCACATGGGCTTTTGAAAACACTAACAAGTGTAGAGCAGGTCTGCGACCTCGGTGACCCCACTTTACTGGGCCAATTCCCTCTCCTCTTTCTGAATGACACGTGTCTGAATCAGAGCCATCTGCCTCAATTTGCGCAACATCTTAAGCCACAATAGGACCCAGTTAGCCCTGACAACAGCTCACAATACATAAAAATAAAACTGCTGTGCTGACAGCACGCCATCAGCTATTCAAGAGCAAACCAACTGGTCAGTGTCTCATGTCTGACAATTAGCATGGGCCTTGCACAGTGCCTCTGGGCTCCTTAGGGATCTGTTTAATTACCATCAACATAAAAGAGGGAGTTTATCAGCAGATACTCAAAAAGCTTCACTCTAGACTTAATTAAAATATTAGCCTCTTCAGCAGGAAGCAGATTCTCTTTAAATGAAAAGTAATTTCTTTTTAAAAAAATTAAACATATCAACTTCAAAACCTTGTAACATATTACACTGATTTAAGAAACAGAAGTCATTCTTAAATGTCACTCTTCACAGATCAATATATTTCTTTTTTTTCTTTTTCTTTTTTTTTGAGCAGACAATTTTCGATTTTACAGATCAATATATTTCTTTTTTTTCTTTTTTTTCGAGCAGACAATTTTCGATTTTCACATACAACAATAAAGTAAATCCCTATCAAATGCTTCAAGGAAATACCAGTAGTCCTGCTTAGTGTTTTTACCAAAATGCTAAATCTGTTTTGCCCGCCAGTTTGGAAAGGGTAATAATTAAGCAAACAATAGTCTTATTAGTCTCTTTATTTATTTAGCACTTGTGTCTTGGGACTACAGAAGGAGATTATGCCTGAATTCCCACCACAAAACCCCCGGAGCTGGAGCTCCCGTGGTTTTTTCACAGCCCCAAGGCTCATTTTAGTCTTGTTCTAGTCAAAATTGCAAATGATATAAAGTCAATGTTATTATAAAAGTAAACAGAGCCCAAAGGTGTGATCGGGATAAATTCTGACCAAGTGCCACTGTGTGTCACTCAAGCAATTAGCCAAGGAAAACTGTTTGAAACAAATAGCTGAGTTTTCCAGAAAACTAAGTAATTCGTAATAACAGCAATTGTGTTAAAATAAAAAATCAGGAACCTTTCCCCCTGTTTCTCCAGTAATTTACCAGTCAAAATATAATATGACCACAACCATTAGAGAATACTTCTTTTATCTACAGAGTATAGACCTCACTGCCTCATCCTAGTACTGTACCTGTTCAAAGATTAACTGAAGGGAAGAAGGGTGCAATTGAATAAATTGAGACCCAGTTAAAAAACTTTTGTTTGCTATTATCAGTTACATTTGCCTTGTTCTTGGCTGGCAATTACCTTTTCCATTAATGAAAGACTAAACCCTAGCCTTCCAAATATCAAAGAAAAGATCACCTGCCTCTTCCTAGGAGATTGCTATAGTATAGGAAAACAGCAGCAGCAACACTGATTAGGACTTTATGACACCGGGCTGTATTACTCTCCATGTATAAGGGCAGAAACCCCAATGCTTGAGAGAGTGGAATCATTCGACTGGTTATTCTTTCCTTTCTTGAAACACCTTCTTCTTAAAAAAGGGCACCTGAGGACAATGCCACCATGTAGGGACATAGCTTGCACAAAAGATATAAAATGTCTTGATCACAGTTGCAGCCATGAATGTTTCCTCCCTTGCAGCTGTGTCCACAGCTGCACTTCACATTTAGAGGTGGAACTATTAAGAAAACCCCTGCAGCAACAGAGTGTTTTACCTCTCTAATTTCTAAACCATTAGGTAAAGGTAAAGGATCTCCTTGACAATTTTTGTCCAGTCGTGTTCGACTCTAGGGGGCGGGGCTCATCCCCGTTTCCAAGCCATTGAGCCAGCGTTTTGTCCGAAGACAATCTTCCGTGGTCACATGCCCAGTGCGACTTAGACACGGAACGCTGTTACCTTCCCACCAAGGTGGTCCCTATTAATCTACTTGCATTTGCATGCTTTCGAACCGCTAAACCATTAGATAAACCATTTATCTAGATCAAAAAGGTGGGTGGCTCAGGATAGACAGAAATGGTAGAAGCCTTTGTTGGCATTAGTACCAAACCTGACAGACATTTTTATAGAGAAATTCTTGAGTCAATCTTAGGTACATCCTTTACTTATACATGATAGGTCATATATTTTCCTCTACCTCTTCTTCAGAGATGTTTAGAGGTAACCAAGTGCATTCTCTACTTGGACTGAGTGTTATAAAAAGTTGTACAACAGGGTACACTGAATAACAGAAGTGAATTCCCAGACTTCCCTTCTCATACCTCTATAATTGCATTTGAGATTGGTGATAATGTACTATTATGAATAAACTATTATGAATAAACATGTGAATTAACCACTTTTTGAAAAGAAGATGCTGTTGCTAACTAAACTAAGCCCTCAGTAAAGTCTGTTTTCTACCAACTTCTACCTTCACAAACTGCAGGAATTAATGTTCCTGGTCTTATGGTGCAAAAAATACGGTAATGTTCCTTTTGTGTCTAAGGAGAACCAGAATTAGAAGCACTTAGTAAAATCAGACGACTAGCGGAGTGTTATGTGATTCCACCCTGTTAAAGAAAAACCTGTTTAAAACAGAAAGAAAGTGTGATGACAAACGATCATGGACTGTAGGAAATAAATATCTTTTAACTAAAATTTAAAACTGTAGCATAGCAGACTGTAGCATAGCAGGTGTGTAGTGAATAGCAAACAACATTCCAAGACATAATCTGTCAGGAAACAAGCAACAGACTCCTTAAATGGGACGGCAAACTAAATTTGAAACTGGAATAAATAGTCCAACTGCACATCAAACAGGTGGAGGAAGGCTCTAATTATCATTATTATTTAAATACAGTGGTACCTTGCTAGACGACCCTGCTGTACGACGAAACTGTATAATGATGACTTTTTGCGATCGCTATAGTGATTCGCAAAACAGTCATTCCTATGGGGGAATTCCGTTTGACGACAATTTGTCCGTCCTGGAATAAATAGTCCAACTGCACATCAAACAGGTGGAGGAAGGCTCTAATTATCATTATTATTTAAATACAGTGGTACCTTGCTAGACGACCCTGCTGTACGACGAAACTGTATAATGATGACTTTTTGCGATCGCTATAGTGATTCGCAAAACAGTCATTCCTATGGGGGAATTCCATTTGACGACAATTTGTCCGTGCTTCGCGGACCGTTTATTCGCAAGACGACGATTTTTTCCGACGATCGTCCGCTTCCTAAAATGGCTGCCCTGTGTTTTCCGGACCCATGCTTTGCAGGGCAGCCATTTTAACAGCTAATCGGCACTCGCAAAATGGCTTCCCTATGGGCGATCTTTGCTGGATGACGAGGTATTTTCCCCTTTAGAACACATTAAACGGGTTTCAATGCATTCCAACGGGGAAAGGCTTTTCGCATGATGATGATTTCGCTTAACAGCGATTTTCCCGGAACGGATTATCGTCATCATGCGGGGCACCACTGTATAAAAGTGCACTTGACTCAGAGAAGCACAAACCTTCCCATGTTTACTCATTTACTTACTGTACCTCTCCAACATTTTACATCCAGGAAAACTTGCACTAGCGCTTGATTGGAGTGAAAAAACCCGCAAGAAGCAGGACTCCAGCTAGTTAGGTTTTGGAATTTCAATCTGTCCAAATTTATAACAAAAACTGGCAGCCTATCTGCTCTTTTATTTCTGATTAAAGTAGAACCAAGTTAAAACACATAAATATGATCAAATTTAGCATTCGCTGACTATGCTAAGAAATATTTTTAATGTATTTCTGTGGCAAGTATGAAATAATGTCAGTAACTATGATATATATGCATTAAAGAGGATTAGAAAATTATAAATACAGTAGTGCCCTGCTAGACAATGACCTTGCAAAACAACGAATCCCCATGACGATGAGTTTTTGTGATTGCTATAGCGCTTCGCAAAACAGTCTTTCCTATGGGTGATTTTTGCTGGACGATGTTTCGGTCCGTGCTTCGCAAGACAGTTTTTGTCGGGACCGATGGATGCTTCACAAGATGACGATTTTGACAGCTCGATCAGGGCTTCGCAAAACGGGTGTTTTTGGGACCGATGCTTCGCAAGACAGCGATTTTAACAGCTGATCGGCGCTTCG